TATAAATACAAGATTTTATAAATTAAGTGATTACCCACATAAATTTTACATAAAACATCACAAATAAAAAAAGTTAAATTCAAAATTTAATATTTATATATATTATATATTATGTATATCAGAAGTGGCTAACATGAATAAGTTCCCGGGCTACATAGATAAATACAATAATATTAAGAGCCAAAATGTTTATAGACACATTTTACATAATTTGATAATTTTTTTAATCTAATACCAAAAAAATTGAAATTTTTGATTTTATAAATAAGACGCGAGCTGCATCTGACAATGGCGACAGCCATATGTGGTTCGCGAGCCGGAAGTTGGCAATCTATGATATATATATTAAGAAAAAAACAACTATTAAATTAATTCAAATAATTTATAAACATTTTAATAAAAATTTAATTCATTTGTTTCCCTAATATCTAATATTATGTTAAAAACTCACCATATAGATTCAAATGCAAATTTTAAATGCAAAAGTTAAAAAAAAAATTAGCATTAGTGTTATTATTCTTATAAATTGTTTTTAAAAATGTCCTATCGTACACAATTGTATTGATGAAAATTACCATATAATATACAGATTATCTATAAATAATATATTATAATACTCACAATAATATAATAGGAATAGATATTCTATAATAAATTAATTAATAAATATAGGTTGGTATATGTATGCATTTATTGTCTAAAAAATTTAAACATCTAAGTAACACCATAAATAAACAATACTTAAGCAATTTCTATGTATGAAAATGATATTTTATTTCAGTGAAATATTTATTACTATTGCTTAAAACAATTGTTTAAATAATTATTTTTATTATCATACTAACCAGTTTATATTGCATGGTATGATGGTCATTACTTTTTTTGTTAAAATCAAATTATTACAAAAAAAAAAAACTAATTCTCTTAGCCGATTTCACTATATTTATTGACAAAATAGATCATTGCTCAATAATAATAAAAAAACTAACCTAACCATTTTGTGAAATACTATTTCTAGTTTAGTATTTTTTTTTTCTATTTTATTAACTACTAACAGTCTAAAAAGATGAGCCGGTAACTTTAAAAATGTATTTATATATTTTTTAATTTATTAGCTCATCACTGCTACTTGATCATAAACTTTTTAGACAAACAACGACAATTTTATATACAATAGTATACCCATTGTTCATAGAACGTAGGTACTATATTTCATTGATAAATAATTATTAAAATTTAAAAAAAAATTATAATTTAAATACATACATTATTTTAACAGTATTTTAATAATTAAATTATATTTTATTGATTTGAAAAACAATAATAATCAACAGTATATTTTATTAATTCAATATGCACTTCTAACAAATTGTTGTTTTTGTATAATGCAAAAAAAAAAACAATGATTTCAAAATAAAATTAAACTTTGTATTTAATGTTTATTAATGTACCAACGATTTACAAAAGAGTAAATAGCAGCCCATCTGGAATGTCTGGAATATTTCAAATCAATTTCAAGTTTTAAACAAATTGTTTGGCCTCATGCTTCTTATTATCGTATATATTTTAAAAAGACCGTTGAACTAATTGTATATAATAATCCGGGTAAAGCATTATTTTGTTCGCATCCAATCATTATTCATTATATTATATGTATAAATTATTTAAAAATAGCATCTGGAGTTGTACGTTACTAAACATCAACTATGAAACAAATTCAAATAGATATAATAATCGAAAAAATTGTTTCGATAATAAATGATCGTTTCATACAAGACTACCGGCACTATTATATTATGTTTATATGTTTTTCAAACTACACATGTGTTTCAAGTGCAAATTAAACTACATTCAAATAACCATTTTTTTCTTCAAAAGTAGAATTTTTATTATTTTATTTTCATGTTTATTTGAAGTTCTAACATTTTTAAAATAAAAATATTTTAATAAAAAGTAACGATTTTAGTTATTTATGTCATAATAAATATAAAATTTATACACGGATAGCTTCTTCACATCAAAAAAATCCTTTAACACATATTTTAATTGTGCTATACCACAGATTGACTTTTTCTTTTAAAAATAAAAATAAAAGGTAGACAAGTGGATACCGCTCTACTTAAATCAACTTATGATTTAAGTGGATCTCTGTTATGTGTGACTCTGCTTAAATAAACTTAGAATTTGATTGGGTTACTATTATAAATGTGTAACATTTGAACTCAATGATAATATATTATATCCATTGTATTAACACGAAAAAACAATTTTGAGCGAAGACGATTTGTCAATCTATGTCACTAAATCTGTTTCATGGTATGTTTTTTGATAAAGCTATTAGTCATTTATTTTACTTTTAGATAATTATTTAGATATATAGATACATGTTTACATGTTTACAAGATTATAAAACAACTGGATACATGGAAGCTTTACAGTCTACTGAAAAATTATCTTCACAATTAAATGTTGAACCAAAATTTAAAATCACTCGTATAAGACGTAGAAAACAACCATTTAATTATGAATCTAAAGACGTAGTTTCAGGCACCCAAAATCCAGAATTAAACTTCAAATATCATGTATTTAATAACATACTTGATTAAAAATTATCTTCTATTACTAAACGTTTTGAAAAAACAAAAGAATTTAATGATATTTGGAGGTTTTTGTTTAATATTAATGACAATAACAATGAAGATCTCTTATATTAAACTAAGCGACCAAACGAGAATATAATATAAATAGTATATATTTGTAAAATTAAATTTATACATAAGATCTTTAAACTTAAAAAAGGATAGCTTCCAAGTGAAAATTTTGTTATTTATTAATTATTAATTACAACTAGTTACAAGATACCTACTTTACTAAACTTATGGGTAGCTTTAAGAATTATGATGATAATTCCAGTAACGATTAATGACTGCAAGCTGTGAAAAAAGTTTCAGTAAATTAGAGCTAATAAAAAATGTCTTAAGATCAACAATAACAGAAGACTGTCTCAATAATTTGGCATTAATCAATATTAAAAATGATATAGGTAGTCTTTAAATTAAATCTCAACGAAGCAATAATAAATTTTGCTGATTTAAAATCAAGAAAAACTTTTTTTAAATATTAACAGTGTGTAATGATAATACATTTATCTACAATAATAAATAGTGTAAAATAATAAAAATGTTATTTAAGCTACATTTTTAAGAGCGCTTTTTAAAAGTTTAACCTGGACGCCATATAATAACTCAGACTGATCTAGGTGATATTTTTATTTATTTTCATTTACAATAATAATTTTGTAGTTCAATAACGTTATTTTTTAAAGATAGTCTATCAAATAAATAGTCGCTATCGATAATAAAATCAATCATGTAGGTAATACATATCACGAGGATCTTACATATCACGAGTTATCTTAATCGTTAAATTACATGATAGTGAATAGTGATGTTGAGAAAACCTATGTATAATTCTGGTAGATATGTACCTACCTAGGTACCTATTTAGTTACTATTTAGCTTTCGGGAATGCGTATTGACATATTTATACAATATGCCGAAACAAAATCGAATTGTATATGGTTTTATGTTTCGGAGTTTGACTCCTACGTACTTTTTACCGACAGTATTGTATTGTATTGTAAACTTTGAGAAGTCGAGTTTCAACGGATAAAAAATTTACAATTCAGTAACATATTACATACGATAAACACTGACGTGGTAATCAAAAAAAAACGAGCAAAAATCTTTTATTTTATCAATTTTAGACCATATCAAACATTCAATAGCTGTAAAAGTATAATATAACCTATTAAAATTATTGAAACCCTTCATTTAAGTGTTTTTTTAATTTTTTTCATGATATATCTAATAATTTAAATAATTCTGTACAAAATAATAATTAACAATTAATATTTATTGTGTATATTTTATAATATTTTAAGGCCATTTTTTTTTTTTAAAGTCATTATTTTAGGTTTTTTTAGATCATTAAAATTCTAGCACTACTCATCACTCGTATTATGTTATCTGTGTATTATCCGATCATGTCGCCGTCCAACCTGTTATACTGTTAAAACGTAGGATTCGCGTACGACCTGCCATTTTTTTTACCCGGAAGAATAATGATACGCAAAGGTCCGAGAATAGTGAAGACAGATACACCGTTGACACGGACCCAAGTAAACACCATTTACCTACTCGCCGCGCACCATTTTCTCTGATAGTGCCAGTCAAGGCACGCGATACCAGCCAACTTTATCGCCACGGCCCACGAGTGAAAAAAAAAGATAAATAAGCAAAATAAACCGACCGCTTCCGCTCAAAATAGTTTTCTTATACAATTATCTATCAATGAATTCAAATTTAAAACGTCCATTACTAGGTCTATCTAATGATGAGGTAGAAACTAGAAACATTGCAGAAACCGGCTATATGAACAAAGCGACTGTTTCGGTTTTTTATTAAGTATACGGGTTGGTAGGTAATTAATAGATGATTTAAAACATTTTAATCAATGATTAATACATAATATATAGAGTTTGTATTATTATGAGGTTAGAATCGTAAAATTGATTTAAGATTGAAGAAATATTTTACCTCATCCATCATAAAAACTGTTTACCTGATTCGGCTAGTTTATAAGACTATCTCAATCCATACTCGTACTTACTCCTTATCCAGCGACCTCGCCGACTACTGACACTACTGAAAAGTTAATAGTACGGTTATCTAAACGTTATTATAATTTTGTAGAAAACTTAACTTTCAAAATTTTTGAAATACCGTAAAATAAGAAAAAATACTACTATATAAACGGGGCCAACCATCTACGTGAGAAGCGTGTAATTACGAAATGAAACGTGAAACTCGAAGAAAAAACATAGATGGCGTGGTTTGACATAGTCCGCGAAACCTTAAAGCGCGCACATGATTGGTGTAAACGTTTTGAACATTTGAACGACCGTTATCGTCCTTCTTATCAACGACAATAACAAATAACTGGTTTCATTAATTTCTATTTAGTATCCAAATAATTGATTATGTCAGTTTGATGTTTATGTTTTAAATTATCCTGTATTAGGTCTGCCGAATTACGTTTCTTCAGTTTTTTCCGAATCCGCTATTTGCCGATATATGCATTCGTAAGTATTGTAAACTTTGTAAGAATTTCCATCAATTCATACATGTTCGGTCGCAGTTTATGTGAAGCAATTGTGTATGTAATATAATGTCATGTACAATCATTGCCTTGACTATTTCCCTAAGTCCTCATGTCGATTAAAGTAATCGATTACCACTAGATTAGCAATTTTAAATATAAACGTACAACCCAACAGACAACAGTACATGAACTACTTTTTCAAACTTATAATTTAAAATACTATTTAAGTGTAAAATATTAAACACATTATGTTTTTATTCTAAAATAATTATTAAGTTTTTAAAGTTTTTGCCTGCACTATAGAGTAACAATTATATTTTACTTAATAAAAATTTACTTTATATTGATCAATTTTTATTTTCAGTCTTCACTATGACTAAATATTTTAATGTCGATATTGATAATATAATCACTGATTATGAATTATCCTACCAAAATACAATGGAAAATTTTATCGATGAAATAAAACGAAACAATGATAATATACTGAAAGTATACACACAGAACATAGAAGAATACAGCAAAACATTAAGTATGTATTTTATATTGCAAAATGTCATTAATTTTAAAAGTTTTGTATTGCTTATTTTTAGAAAATATCTCAGATATAAATAATAAAATCGACAAGAGCCGTAATACACTTCAGCATATATCTGACAAAGTCAAATGTGAACAACAAATATTACAAACAGAAAACGATCGTTTGGAATCTATTAATAATGAATGTAATAATTTGGAAGTTACAGAAATTGAATTGAATGATGTGCTAAATAAAACCAAAGAGCAACTCAACAAAGTATATAAAGGTTAGATTTAGGTTTAATTTAGTTTATTATTTAGGAATTTAGAAAAAAAATTATATCATTATAGTAGTTAAAAAATCATTATTACCTAAATTATTATAATAATCAAATTATAAAATACATAATATACACTATAGTATAAGACTATGTAAGACCTTTTATAATTATGATTCATGATCGTGAATTAAAACTAGGGAGGACGTATAAAGTATAAAATTAAAAGAAATGTAGGTTATGATAGATATTACATTATACATTAATGTTACTAGTTCTATAAATTAATTACAATAATAAAATATAAAGTACATCATATATTTTATTTTTGTTTATTCTTTAAACTATTCGTGTGAGAAAAAATGTTTTGATTTTTTATTATTTGTATCTTAAAAGTTATTATTTATTTATTTTTAGAAAAAAAAGCAAGCATAAAAAAACTCAAAAGAGAAATAAATTCATTCAGAATTGGAGTGAACATGTTTGAACGATTTTTACAGTTGAGTATGAATATTGAAAACAATGAAAAAAATGCTGTAATCTATATTACTATGAAAAATTTAAACAATCCCTCAGATTACAAAATTGTTTTTGAAGAAAATGATAACAATTTCAAACGTAAGTACTGTGTAACTATTCTTATTTTATTTAGCATTTCAGATGAAAATTATGTTTAAAAAATCTAATTCTTTGTGCAAATGAATAAAAGCTGTTTTAATTTTTTTAATTTTAAAATAATTTAGAATATATCCCTAGATTTTAGTATATTATGTATATTAGTATTTAGTATTTAGTACCTATTAAAATAATGTAACTAAACTTATATTTGACGTTGCAAAAATGTACTTTCCACTTGCTATTAGTTTACACTCGTAAAACATAAAATCATTAAAATAGAACCTAAATAGTAATTATAATACTCTTGTTGTCATTAGGACAATTAGTATAATTATTTGTTACATCAGTAGGTTACAATTTTTTTTTTATGTATATATGTATACCTAAAATTCATTTTAACTTTGTTATATTTTGTGTACTAATTTTCTAATGCAAATTTTGTAAAATGTTTTAAAATTCTTATAATGTAATTTTTTTTTAGTATTGGTTTCGATAATTTTAGACACTCTAAGTCACAATAACTAATTATCACTTAAATATAAATGTAATAACTAATAAGTAAAAAATTTAATAGTTGAAACTAAATTTTATACAACACATTTCAATTATTATCAAGTCTTTGTTGAGAGTAGTTTTTAGAGTAAATTTAAAAAATATATATTCTTATAAAGTACTAACTAGATACATGTTTTTATGTAAAAAATTACATTAATTATGAATAAAAACAAATCAATTAATGTTATAAAATAAAAAATCTAATGTTTAATTTGGATCATACTAATTCAGATTAATCAGGACTATAAATAGATGAGATACAATTTTGATTTTTATATATTTTATAGATTGCTCCTATAATTAAATATCAATTAAAATAATTGATTTAAAAAAAAAAATCATATACACTTACATATTATTTATTTATGTCACTTATTAGTTATGTTCTAAAATTTCTAATCACTACATAAGACATTAGGTATACTTTACAATACAAGTACTATTTGATTTAAATTTGTTTGATTTTTATTTAATTTACTTACTTATTTGTATTTATGTTTTCATTCACAGTTATTGACATTATTCCACGTAGCCAGGCAGTTATGAAGGCAGCAACATTGTATAATAAGAACAAAGATGTCCAAGGCCTATTAGCTTTCTTGTACAACACAAAAGAATAACCAATATATCAAATATTATTATAACAATAACACTATGTATATAAATACATATTATGTTTTCACTGTTGTTCTCAAACTATGTACTATGCTGCATTTTATGTGTTTTGCTGTTTTGTATTTTACTAACTTGTATGTATAAATATTAACATTTTTAGATTTTTATAGCGAGCTAATTTTTTTTTATATAATTTAATAATACATAGCTCTTATGGGTAAACTTAACCTTATTATTTGTTTATTTTTTTACCATGACCTAGTTATACTATTGTTAATACCTCAAAAAAATAATTAAATAATTTTACAATGGTTGTACTGAATAATATTATCAAATTGACCTATCTCTATTATTGAAATGTTTATATTGAGCTTTTTATTGTATACAGACATGTAACCGTTATGTATTCCAGTATAGTTTTTGAAAATGTCCAAGACGCTCAATGTGATAGTTGATCATGTAAGTAAATGTTTAATTATTTAAGTTTAAACAGATTATTTTAATAAAACCTATGTTTAATTACATATAAGCAGCTTAAAATTGTATTTAATTAATTTTTAAATTGTTAATCAAATTAAACATTTCTAAACTTAAGATAATACTTTATATTTTCTGAATATTATTGTAATATAATTTTGATATATTTGACATGTAGATGCCACCATATTTGTTGTTAATGACAAATGATGGTAAGATTAATGATGTCTCAGGATATGTAGGTGAAATTTGGAAAATCATTGAAAAACGTCTAGAAATCAGGTACAATTAATTTATATTTTTATTCTCCAATTTTAAGTGATGATTAATATTTATAATAAAATATTTATTTGAAAAAATTATATATTAAGTTTATTATGAATCAAGTGTTTTGTTATCTGTTGTTGGTCGAATATCTTTAGTTTTCATTTCTGCATTACTTCTGGTTACAATTTTATCAACTGATTTTTGTTCATTTTCAATAACAATAGCTTTTGGTAATATTTCTTCAGCTTTTAGACTGGTTTCTGACGGCCTGTCTTTAGTTTGTTCCATTTGGATCCCTCTGGTATTAAGCGTGGTTTCTCCAACGACGATCACTTCAGGTGTAGCTAAATTGTTTAATGGCCAATTGACCTTAAATCATACTCAATTTATGATTAATACTAGACTATGTACATTAAATTTTAAAATGTACATAAAAACTGCAAAGACAGTTAAGAATACACGTTCCTTACTTCTTGTTGTGGAGGCACGACGTCTGGTTGCGATGGATTTTGATTGTTTGGAGGAATTGGAGGGAACAAACTCTAAATTAGAACGTAAAAAATTAAAGATAAAAATCATACTGCCAAATTATAGTGTATACAGATGATGTGTGTAAAAAAAGTAATTCATTATACATGTTCACTCCCGTTTTATCACTTTATATAGCATTTCGAAGCAAACCTATGCCTATGCAGTTATGCTTAAAAGCAATGTTTTTAAATATTAACAAAAAAAGTGCACTGTGCTATATTTTTTTTTGTTCAAATGACTATCTTCATGTAAATTGTCAAGAAAATTATTTTTATGAAAATTATTATGTAGAATCTACATTGTAGATAATTACCTACCGAAATATCAACCTCGAAATTCGATCAAATTTAGATTTTACTTTTTGGAAATCATAGGCAATAACATAATTGTAATGATGGAATTTTAAATAGATTAAGGTGTTATTTTACCTCCTCCCTAAATATGCTATAAATTAAAATATTTTAATCTTCTGAAATAAAGAAAGAATGCAATATATTTAACATCATTGGTAGGTTAATAAGATAACAATTTTTTTTCTTAGATTATTACACCTAAAGCGCATTTATTTCACGTTTCTTATGTTCTATAGTATGTTGACGTATTATATTACATTATATGGATAACAAAAATATCTCAGGAATATTATTTTATGAATTATGATTACAGGATTATCGTCACAATACCTACCTATTTGCTATCTTTTTCAAACATTTTTAATGAACTTTAAATACCTACTTAATATTATTTAAGGGTAGAGTACCTCTAATTGTTTTCTGATCTATAAAATGACTTTAAAAACTTATGTAAAACCAAATAATTAGGTTAAGTTAGGTATATTGGTGAACAAAATATTTTGCCCATTCCCCAGTTACCAAGTTACGCTAACCACTAAGGATACTTACTATACAAGTCAAACTCTAATACGGCAAAAGAATATTTAATTTTTGAATAAGGGTAATAAATACAGAAATTTCAGACTTTAGGTTATGTACTTAAGTACAATTTAAGATATCAATAAGTATAAGTAGTGGGTACCTACATTAATTTTATAATTTTGAATAAATCCAAATAATAATAGGCAATAGTGTAATATAGAGTATAGGCACTTGACTAGATATTATTAATTAGTAATTACCTATATCTAGTGATTAATATTATATAGGATCTATTACATTTAAAAATATTATGATTTTTAAACGGGCGATTAAAGTCATAATTTGAATAAGTGTACAACTAAATATGAGATTAAATCGGGTTGATGAGCGTGTCCGTGGATGAATCGCTCATACGTATGTGTTATGTATACGTATTACCTACCTACTACTTATATCTATATATTAAACAAGTAAATAGTATAGTTTAAATATAATATTATGCATTTAGGTATAGGTAATTTCATTATAATAATGAGCGACTACGTAATCATAATTTTGTACATAACATATCTATTGACAACGACAACTTACACCGAGCACTAGTTCTCCGACAAAAGACAAGCACAAAAGGACGAAAATCCAATATCCCTTCATGTTGGCGGGCATCGCTGCGATTTCTGACCCGGCGACAGTACACTATACTATAATAATGTAAATTACCTACGATCGTACGGTGATCTCGCGAATGGAATAGCTACGAAGGTACGCCAGCTATCGTCTACTCGTACACGGACACACGGGACGGCGGCGTAGGCAGATAAGTCTTCTTCGCTTCGGCGGTCGGAGCACAAACAACGACGCGGTTAATTGGAAATTTATATGGCGCCTGGCAGTTCTCACGGCGTGCGCGTAGAGACGGTTATATGTTCGGGTCGTGCAACACACAATAAACGTGTCATTGAAAATGTAAAAACCAAAACATAAAAAAAAAAAAAAAACACAACACAAAAAACAAAATGCCAGAACAGTGCTATTGTATACCACGTTTCTGGTACCGGTGTGCGTGTATATATATATTATATATATATATATTTATACATAAACGTGATAATTATATATACACATAGTATACCTCCTCTCCACGCGTAACAACGTCGAGCAATTATACACGCGTGTGTTTGCGAATTTTAAATTGTAAAACGAGGTGTTTAGCATTTAAAAAAAAAAAAAATTTTCTCCCGTCGAGACCGATAAATTGATGTCAAGCAAATAACGACAGGTAATATTATGTGTGTGTACAGCGGTTTATATTTACTTATAGATATAGTATCTATTCATCTTCGTTCGTCATACAACCGCGACAGTTATGCGATGATGATATTATTAACATTATTATTATGACAACTGGTTCACATACCTACCATATATACATACATGCATACATATATATATGTATATATTATATATAAATATATATACTTGCGACTAGATGTAATTAATGCGAATATTACAATGTATCGTTCACTCGAGTAAATGTAAGTAATATTTAACAATATTATGTGTAAATTATATGCAAAAAAACAGTAATAATAGTATCTAACCGAAAAACGCTCAATAAAGTTAGTTTTTTTTTTTTTATTTGAAGAGAGAGCAAAATAAAAAAAAACGTCTAAATTATGATGTATTAATAGTAATTATGTTGTATATTATTCATATTTTATATGCGTGTATAATGTATATATAAATATGCGATTTAAAAAATTGTGTATTCACTTTTCAGTGTTTCTTAATAATGTGTAACAATGGGCGTGTCTGCCCTTGGCTCTATCAAAGGTGATGAGAAGTGGGGGCGGTAACATATTTTATTACAACACTAGATACGGCGGCCACCCCTTTATGTCTCATATCGTCAATTTCATGAATTTTTTTTACACTAATACACGTTTTGTAGTATATTTACTTATTTGCCAATTTATAACAATTGTGCAGGTATAGGTACCAATAAAAGTAAATACGTATAAAAAATATGGCCCTGCTCTAAAGAGGAATGTGGTAATCTACGTTTTGCCTCTTCAAATATCGTACAAGCATGTAATATACATTATTCTGATTTAAATATATCTGTTTACGAGTAGGAGCAATTACGTGCGTGGAGACTTCACTGCAGGCAAATTAATGTTGAAAGAAAACACTGGTGACGTCCTCTTGGTGCCGATTGTGGTCACCACTACTGACGTACAGGATTTTGATTTTTCAATTCCGATTTTTAAAACATGGTACGTTACTATTTATGTATGTATTATATATACTTGTAAATGTCACAAGAATGGTGTATAGTGTACTATAATGGATATATTATTTTGTAAATAGTAATGTAAATTATTTTCATGGCTACAGCAATGCACCAAGCGCCCGTCGATTCGAAAATTATTATGAATTGTCAACTTTCATCATTAGAAAATATTTTAAGATATAAATCCGATTTCTGAAAGGCTTTAAATCATCATAAATTTTTCAATAATGCTATTATAAGTAAATAATATTTAAGTACACATCGTCTAATGTGCTATAGGTACTCTATATATTTCTGTTTACGGGTTTCTTCTATGTAAAAGCATTTATTGTACTGCAATGGATAACGCAATTCCTATACACACAACCGCTATAAGTATATTATATGAATTATTTATTGTAATACCGTAAAATCTCGAAAGCATTAAAACATAAAATCACGAACGCTGTTTAAAATTTAAATGTGAACGACTATCAGACGTGAATCATATAGTTATAGTTGTACTGAACTGTATGTATAATAAATATACCGTTACACGTACATTTAATAAAATAGTGAAAATTGCATAAGAACTTATAACATGGGCGTCCTCAAAGGGGGGGGGGGGGAGCAAAACAGGGCACTTGCTCCCCTAGAATTTTAAATTTGTTATTTAATTGTAATAATTTAATGTACTAATGATAAAAATTAATAATGTTCTATAAGTAAGATGTATAATAACAATACCTAAATGTAATGATAATGGAACATAATAATATACTATCAATAAAATGTATAAAAAATCTTCATTTATTTTTTAAATTAATTTTGTCCCCCCCTAGAAAAATTTCTGGGGATGCTTATGACTTGTAACAATATGTTATGTTATGCTTTTGTTTTACAAAATGTAATATACTCGTATTATTGGAAATTTGTACCTATTTTATACATATGTTATACAAAGTGTAATACTCACTATAATCACTATTTTTGTATTAATTATATCTGATTACCCATGTTTAATTATACAATATGTACTTATACATTACACTAAAACTGTGCATTGTAAAATTTAAAAAAAATCTATGTCATTAATAAAGTATTTAAATTTTAAAAACGTTATTTAATTTTAATTTTGCAAAAAGTTAATTTCAATATGAAATTTGAGAAACCCGTGTTCTATTTTATACATGTCATATACTGAGTAATCCTATTGAACAAAATTCATTATTTTAAAATCTATTTATGTTTTTTTTAAATAATTTTTTATATTATTCCTAGTCTAAAACAACATTTTTTCATGATAATATATTTTTAATATTTTTGATCAAAATTTGGACGAGTAATTTATGAATTGATTATTAAAAGTTTTAGTAAGCGAAGTAGCAGATCAACATTAGTGGGGTTGGGGTAAATTCTTACCTCTCCAATTGGCTCATCTAAACTTTAAATAGTTATAACTTATAAACTACTCATCTGAATTTCAATTTTTATGTATCGAAATATCCCAAAAAATATTCTGTTTTAGAATATGAAATTAAAAATGTATGTTTTCATGCAAAAAAGTAAAAACTTAAAAAAAAAATATAACAATAAAAAATATTGAAAAGTATATTTTTAAGATCCTTAATAAATTTTAAAATAATTAGTGTTGTTCAATAAAAGAATCGCTCTGTATTATGAATTATAAGATAATATTACAAAAATGTATTATCTACAACGAACCGTTGTCTTGACATAAGCGAATACCGTATAAAATTCATAGAACTAACCGGGATGTATCGTCTTGATCTTTCAGGTACGAACTGTACGCAAAGTACACCGTCAATCGAGCTACTTCGTTGTCGTACTTGGTTACCTGGAGTCCGGAAGTATGGGCAGCGTTTTTGTTGACGATGTTCGTGATCGTCGTATGTATGTGGTTCGTCGCGAAAATTAGGTGAGCAATGTAAAAATCAAATATGATAGAATACACACACACAAACTATCTTGTTTAATATTATATTCCGTTAAATAAGTAAGCTGCGTTCACGTATGCATAACTGCTACTGCCGCACGTGTATAATTATAGAGCGAGAAAAGGTCGGAACCTATAATATAATATTATGTATATATATATTACAGCTACAAGTCATAAATATTTATACGTTATGAGTTTATGACCGACGAAGCAAATTGAATATTGGTCGTTTTTATTCCTTTTATTGACGGAGAAAAAATATCTATTTTATAGATAATATTATCTTTATGATATAATATGCATACAACCAGTTTTTTATAATCATGTACTTATAATATATTCTTTATATTATAATAGTGATACATTTAAATTAATATTTATTCAATCTTGTAAAAATTTAATTTTGTGAAATTTCAACGATATAATATTGCATAATATTTCTTATTAAAATAAAACAAATTGAACTTATTAAAATGATAAAAATAATAATACAAAAAAATACAAAATATCGTGAAATATAATAAGAACAATTTATATTAATTAGTTTAATTAGTTTCATCTTTTTTTTTCATCAAATAAAATAGCTTTAAGAATCATTTCTTTTAATTAAAATATAAAAATAAACCTATCATTAATAATTTTTTAGTTTAAATAACTTGAATAAATATACTGTTTGTAATTTTCATATGATATTTGGTTCATAAAAATATAGATATTTACATTTAAGTTTTAAATACATTGCTGCTAAACACAAAAAATGAATTATTTTTATAAAATTGTCACGTGTGGGGTTTTATTAAATGCGATATAATCTTAACTAAAAACAATGTTTTCATAAAATATTTGTGCTACACATTATTAAGTGCAGTCGTAATTATTATATATTAGACTCATTTAAACATTTTAAAATTTAAAATACAATAAAATAAAAGATAATCTCAATTTGTATACTTTTAGAGCATGTATATAGGTTATAAAAGTGAACAATATATTCGTGTGAGAGAATAAATTAAATAGATTGAGTAGTCAACGTGTATACTTACACCTCAACCGAGTGGTCTAATGTACGATCTCGAGAATTTCGTGTCATATGATATAAAAAATTATGAATAATCACGTATAATTATTGTACACGTAAATAAAACGAATCGGCCATTCGGTTTAAACTGTTTGCTGGCCGAAACGAATACTATGTATATAAATATTGTATGTAAAATCTAAAGTAAGACGATATTCAAGCCGGTACAACAATATGCAAATGTAACCTTTGCAAACGCTCGAATAATGCAGGGTCCTCGTGCATTATCAGAGAGGGGTAAAATCAATAGCGTAGTATATATGTGTGCGTAGGTCTATGTGTATGTGTGTGTGACTGAACGTTTTTCACCCCTCTATGATGGTCGTGAGCTTTGTACCAGGATCTTAGGATCCAACCGCACGCTTTTAGAGCTTGGGCGTGAAGTCCGTCAATCCAGTTGACATTGCGAACTTTGCCGCGAAAAAAAAAGTCGTAATTTTTATTTCTTTCTTTATTACATATTTTCTAGCAGATCGTCCATAAAAATACTATCAATTCGAATTATTATTTTCCTGCAGTTCGTGTATATTTGCGATAAACAAGCAGAAAATATAAATATTTTATGTATTTTATATAGGTACTATATTTTCAACAATGTGATTTACCGTGTAATTCGATTGAAAAGAATGACATGGCTATATTAAAATATACTTATTTGTATAATTACGTGAGATCTTATAATAGTTTTTAAGTGCACGCTTTCTTTTTTGTAAATTCACGTGAGTATAAACTTTTGTACAAATTATACAACGCGATTTTTTTTTAGAGGGTGATAAGAAACGGATAATTAATGTCTTGGTTAAATTTTTTCAATTTGATTTTTTGCTAATAGTGTCTAATAGTACGGAATATCCTATATCCTAGCATATGCAAGAATGATAGTTTTTGTGTTTTAGATATTTTATATTGTCAGTGGACGACGTATCTGTGGTACAACCGCAAAAGTGGCAGCGATCGGCTACCAAATCTCCTAGTCTGATATCCTATTTCTTCATCGTATGGGGATCAATTTGCAGTCAAGGTATATCCGTCATACGTAATAACATTTATGTGTAAGAACTAAGAACACGCGTACGGACATAGTTTAATGTGATGGTTGACCGCAAACCGTGATTTTGGCGTCGATGGACTGTGATACTGCATTGCTTTTAGAACAATTAACACACAGTAATTAACAGTGAAACAACTTAAAAATTTAAATATTTATAAAAAGTACAAGTATTAAAATAAGATAAATTTTTATCTCCGAGTCTATCTCAAGACTCGTAATAAGTTAAAACCAAACGTTTTTAAGATTTGTATTACCTATGTTTTAATATCCGTTGTTAATTTGTGAATTACTGCAGTATCATGACATAAAAATATCTAAAAATAAATGATAATAATTACTAAAATTTAAAATTTTATCAATAAATTCGATTCTACTTTACCCATAGAGAAATAATGAAATGTTTCATACCTAACGCACACATTATGTGTAGGTACTAGTTTAGAAAAAATGTTCAACAGTAAAAATCTTATATATTCGTATTATGTAGTAACACTTAGTATAAATGCATAATTAAATATATTTTAAGCTTTTTCCTAATCATATAATACAAACGATAATAACTAATAATTGCACTATCAATCTATCTCGATCATTATTATTTGTAGGACTTCACACCGTCAATACCAACGCCTGTTCCGTGCGCGTTGTTTCCTGGGTCACCTTGCTATTCGGGCTGTGTATTAGCACGTCATATTCAGCTGTGTTGTTTTCCCGGTTGACTGTTGACAAATCTGACCTGGCCATCCCTTCGTTGGAGTCGCTGTCTAGGCTTCGAACACACGTGGTGTGCGTGCGACGCAACAGCTTTGGATACTTGCTATTTAAAGTGACTATAACATATAATTATATTATTAATAATAATTTTTAAGAGGACGCTGACACCTATGTTTTTTAAGGTTTGATATAGGTCAATTTATTAATCCAATTTTAAAGAAAAATGAAAACTGAAATACATTTGAATAATACATAATAATTGAAAGTAACTCACAAGTGGTGCTCACATTAAAGCCGCATAGTTAGTTTTTACTTAATTATAAAATAATATACAGAACAAAAAAGTTTCACGTGTGATAGAATCGAAAAGTTTAAGTTAAAAGTTATTCCACTTTGAAAAACATAAAAATATAAAAAAAAAAACGATAAATAAAAAATAATAACAGTATTATACATTTTCTTAGATTCAATTTCTCTATTTAAATCATTAGCTTGCCTTTCATGAATGTAATTTGTTTATCGTTAAGAATTAAACATTATATAATTATACAAAATATAAGCAGCTATTTTAGTATATTATATGATATATTAGTTCATAAAAAATGTAATTTACCTCAAAATATTTTTTAACTGTATTCATTTAGTATTTTTTCTAACAAATCATCAAACTTTCTATTACTTTTTATGATGGAACAAATACAAAAGCACCGGTCATCTGAGTTGCGAGCTTTAAGCTACAATTTTTTAGATTTTTATATTGACTTTGTAATAATTCTGCCTAAATATGGCGATAAAGACTTTAACAAATATAAAATAAGCAAACAAGAATTTTAACTACAATTATGTTCTTTTTCGTATTTATTATTGATTGTTCAAAATTCATCATCACGAATTGCGGTTTTACAATATTTATTTCAAAATTCAGGACTTTGAATATGTAACTTCATATATTTTGAAGTTCGCTACTTCTTTTTTTTACTCCAGTAGTATGTACGCCAACGGAACTTGATCAATTCCTTTAGTTGTATCTATGATGTGTTCTAATATAATAAATATCTGAAAAATATTTTTGGAACAACTTTAAATGTTACATAAATTAACCAACTAGGACTATTCATCAAGAGTCTCAAATTGTCTTTTGTTGCAAAAATTAATATTTTCTCACTTGTTAATTGATAATCAATACCTTCGAATGAATCATATAGTAATAATTTATGGTTCGCATGGTATAGTTTGTTTAAACTTAATCAGTAATTCAAGTAATGCTTCCATATTTTGAGAATTTGGAGGCATATTTGTTACACGTGTAATTTTATATCTTTCCTTATATTTTGACGTTCAGCAAGTTCCGATAAAATAACAGATTGTACAATCCACAAATCTATTCTCAAAATTTTTCTCCTGGGGGTGCTTCAGGATATTCCGGGATTTTCTTTTATATCTGTCATAACTTTTGAGGCATTAATTATTTCTAAATTCAGTGTGTGATTATGTATAGAATTTTTAAATCTTTTATAAATTATTATATTTTATCCAAAATTACCCATGATAACCTGAGCAGAACATTCTCCCTTTTTACAATAACTCTAATAAAATCAATCATGGTTTTTGGAATGTTTATAATTAAGATATTCATCAAAATGAAAAAGCTTTCTTCTTCCATTTTAATTTATAATTTCAACCATAATTTAAATGAATAAGCTTAGTGTAAATACGAATTTATGTACGAAAAATATACAAGTTAATTAATAAAAAATCACAAATTGCGGTGATGACCGCAAAACTCATAATGAAACTGAACTAGTCAGATCAGTAATTGAAAGGTATAACTCTATACCAACCAATTGGCAACCATTTATCCGATTAATCCAACTATAATAATGATTACAGACGAGTACCATTTTTTTAGATTATTAATTTAACGATATGATAATAATAAATAAAAATAAACGTATACCTATATATATATTAAATATTATATATTGTCAATAATATAAGCTATAATCTTAACTTGACGTGAAAATACATGATTATTTCATAAAGATATACTACAGGGCCGTATTTGGAATTTTGCACTCGCGGACACAATATTTGTGACTTTCTTTTTCAACACTTTTTTTTAATATCATAGTGATGGTAGCCAAAGTTTTTTTTTTCACAGGAGGCCATAAAATTAATTAATTTTTTATGTTCCCTTTTCTCGTTGACAATTTAATTTGTAGTTAATTTTTAGCAATTTTAAATGAGTATGTACTCTTTACATGTCTTTTTAATATTAGGTTAAACACAAGTTTCTAACTAACTTATGATTTAGGTACTATCTACCTAGTTTCTACTATATAATACTCATAATAATACATAATACATATAATTAATAATTATAAATAATATGATATGTTTTACAATTTTTTTTTCTTCATTAAAAATCAGCAAAATCATTTATAATATCCTCATATTTAATTTTTATTGTTATTTCTGTTAAAATATTTAATATTGAAAGTGCGTTTAATCTATGTTTAGATATTGTTGACCTTAAATATGTTTTTATGCACCATAGAGTTGAAAATGACCGTCAGAGATTTAAACAAGGAGTACATAGAAATATGTGTAAAAAACAATTCTCACTTACGGGTAAATGTCTTCGAATAAAATCTTCTATTTTTAATATAATATTTCATAGCAATTACCTATAGTTAATGGAGAGTTTTGAACATAATTTTAAAAATGAACACATCATTAATAAATGTTACGTCCAAATCTTTTTTATACATTGAGCACAAATGTTCAACTTAAACACGAACTTCTGATGGGTTTTTTTTTTTTTTTGTAATTCTTTAAAAAAACCATACTTTGTTATGACATAATTGATAATCATGAGCTACTTTTGACTTGTTAATTCTTCTATTGTAGAATCACAAGCACAAAATATTTATTTATTTTTAACTTAAAACTACCTACTAAATTGATTACATTTTCATTAGTATTAATTGTTTTATAATGATGTTTTAATCTTTTTTTACATTTGTAAATCGTTTCGTAACGATTTTCAGAACATTTTTCATTGCTAGTTCTTCATAACGTTGAAACATATTATCAGAACAGTCAACAGAGATTTATAACATTTATATCAATACTTTATATTTGTTATACAGTGTACATACATCAATATTGACTGATTGTGGATAATTACTTACCACGTTGAACTGTTAAAATAAATCACCCCAAAATAGTAATACTAAGGTAACTTCAAAAAAGTTCATTAATTTAAGTAAACCAAAAGTTTCATCATGAGTATTATATTTTCTGATAAGTGATATACTACAAAGACTTTGTTTAACATTTAACATTATCCTAAATTTGGTTTAAAGCTTTGCATGCTTCATCCCGAGCGGACCATTTTATTTCGGAAAGATTTTTCAATATTAAACTTTTCATGTTTACTTTCATTTAAAGTTCCGACACTGAATATATGCAGGAAAAAATGATCTGAATAAAATTGAGAAATCATACTAAATTGAGGGAATTTATGTAGAATCAAAAATATGTGAATGTGTAAATTAAAAAATATATAATATAATAAAATGTACAATATTTTTTGAGAGAAATCTTTGTCTTTACAAAAAAAAAAAAAAAATTAATGTTTGTTTATTTATTATCAATGATAATTTTTTCACCCATAAGAAATTTTTCACCGGTGCTATCTACTTAAAACGGTCCTGGTGGTACATGAAAGTATCTTACAAAAATTAAATTGGAATTTTATTTTTAAGAAATATAAAATTTTAAAATTTCAAAAAAATATATTGAAAACATTTTTTTTTTTTTAAATAATATTAAAGTTAGAATACTAAATTCGAGAAAATTAAAATTGAGAAATAATTTATTAGGAAAACTGTACTAAATGAAATATAATTATAAAATTATATTACTTATATTTTTAAATTTTAAATTTGCACGCCTTAAAACAAAAATTTATTTTTATTTTTCATTTTAGAATATTAGAAAAATTTGTTGTTTGTATTCTGCCATACTTATGCAGATATACTTTTAGGCATGGAAAAGTAACACATAATATAAATTCTCTATACAATACGATAAATGCTGCGTTTAGTGTAAGAGATAAAAAAAAATATGATATAGATGTGTTTCAGGGACATTATGGATTTATCATTTTACTATTATAACATGAAATTTGACTATTTGAATATTTTAATTTATAAAAGTATTTGACTTATCTATTGTAGATATATAAACTAATAAATGATGTATGATGCCTTGGTAAATGGTTATAATTTAACATGACATAACTGCATTGCGTATATATATATAGTAGATGTATACAACTTGTATAGTCAATTTCTAAGTACTATATCCGTTAACTTGCACTCTACTCAATAATTCAGTTAATGCAGTTCAGTAGTTTCGTTAAAAATCGATTTATATATATTTTTCAACTCTTTTATATTTGTATGATCCTATAAGGGTATTAAAAATAAAGTTATAATGCATTTATTAACAATTATTATAGTAAAGAGATATTTAAAAAAAAAAAAAATCAATGATCTCAATTATTTTTAAAATATACTTTTAACTATAAAACTATATGATATTTCGATTATTTTTTCTATTATTTAATTAAAATTTTGTAATTAAATTAACTTTTTTTATATGTATAACTAAAATAGTTGATGTTTAAGATAACATTCCTAAAAAAGTTCATTTTGATTATACTTAATAAAAAAAATTACTTTTCGTGTTTGTTTTTCATATTATAACAAGTAAGTTAACGTAAAATTTTATTATTTTATCTAAATAGGACATGACATGTTTATATAATATATGTACCTAAATGAATATTTTTAATAAATTATTACTAAAAATAATATGCGTAGTTATATTCATTAAAATTTAGTTGTATCCACTAAGCATGATTGAACTAAAACGATCATAAAAAAATGCATAAATTATAATATGTATATTGTATAGTAGTGGATTTCGAATAATATTTTAGATTTTTTTATGCGCCTGTTGCATATTTAATCGGCTTTGGACTTGTATAAAAACACAGTCCCACTAATTACGCGCCTGTCTGTATATTATGATGTATGTCACACGATCGTACTACGATTAAGTACCTATAAGCAAATATATTATCAAATACGAGTATGCGATAACAATTATTTATACCTGCAGGCGAACGAGACGGATACGTTTTTAATGGAACGATGGCTGGGAGTGGTGAACGTTCCGCCGTGTCCCCAGTACGAGTACGGTGACATCGATGTGATGGCCAAGTCGGTGTGCAGTGATCAAGCTCTGTTGGTGTTAGAGACGCCCATGGTGATGGCCAGGGCTATGAGCTACCAGGATGGGTGCCGAGTGATGTCAGTGGCCGGTCGTCACGCGGTAGCTTACGCGTCAGTACTGACGGTCAAAGGATCACCATACACGCCCCTGATTAACGAGATGCAAGTATATTTATGTAATAATATACGTAATATACGCAATGACCATACACGGTGTAATCGCGTTAAGGACATATGCCCGGACAGTGTCTATGATTCGTGAAGCCCGGCGTGAAAAAAACTGCGTAGCCTAACATATTATATATTTATGTTTACAAATGTTTTTGAAGTACTCGCTTTCTTACTATACACGTCGGTTAATTCAAATTTAAATGAATTCGGCAGAATAGAACGTCTTTTAGAAGTAGCAGACAAAAATAGTGTTATTTTTGCAACACCCTAGTACATCAAAAGATCATGAGACTAAACCATTCCTTTAAAAACCAAATCAAAACTACGAGCAGTGATTACACTAACAAAAAAAAAAAACTCTTAAGATTTTCTGAAATTATTATATATATATGTTACGGTAAATGATGTTATATCAGAAATTAACGTTATTCGCCGGTTATTAACGTTATTTACCTACGAATGTGGGAATTATCGTTATTTTCTAGTGAATAACGTTAATAACCGTATGATTTGGGAAATTTTGATCTGATTATAAAATAAAAGAGGTTATTGCGAAAGATTTAAAAAATAACCAAAGAACCAATCATCAAAGAAGACAAAATCAGAAATTAAATCATAGAAATCGCAGAAAAAAATTCGGAACTTGGTACTTAAATATTTTTTAATTATTTAACGATAAATTTCTGAATTTTAAATATAACAAAAATAAAACTAAAATATAAATATTTGAAAATTATTTTAAATATTTTTTTGATGATTGTCAAGAAAATATTTGTATTGCATGTAAAAATTCAAAAAAAAATTTAGAAAAACAAGGAGAAGAAATGATGAAATTTTCTAAAGAAAAATTTCCTCAGCTTGAGATAGGCTTAACTGTATGTGTATTTATACCAAACGTTGATAGAGCTCGTGGTTCTATGCAAAATATACTATCAGTTGTCACTCAAGTTGAACATGATTTATACAAACTCTGTAAGTTAATTCTTAATGAAAAAATATACTATTAAAATTAAAATTTGTTTTATTATTTTATAAGTACGGAATATAGTTGTCTTAAATATTATTTCACATGCCAAAAATAGCTATTTGCAAATAAAATCTATTAGACATGGACAATGTGATAAAATTAGCAGATGGTAGATAGTTGACACTGAGGGAAGTAGCTAGTAATAATTCGGTTGCGAGCCCTCGAAGGTACCAGCGTTGTCATTGCAAGACTAGTTGTAATAATAATAAGCATTGTGCCTACCTTGGGGCTGAAAAATTATGTTATATTAAATGTCATGGGAGTAAAACTTGTAAAAATAAATAAAAAATAATAATGCATTTATTCTATTTTTAAAAATATCTGTGTACTTACATAATTTTTCAAATTGTAGTATTTGAGATTCATGCGCTTATCTGATTAATAACATCAATTACCTGTGTATTTGGTCATTAACGTGATTATCCAGTTTATAACGATAATTACCTGTATATTTGGTAAATAACGTTAATAACCGGTGAATAACGTTAATTTCCATTTAACATGATTTACCGTAACATATATATATATATATCTTAAATATTTAATCTGAAATCTCTACATAGGTAAGTATTTTAATTCTAAAACATTTTTTCACTATTTTTATAATATGAAACATACAATTTTAAATCGTATTATAAATGAAATAATACAATTTTTAAAATAAGATTTCATATTCTCTTTTTACGTATGTAAAACTCTAAATCTTAGTAAAAATCGGGCTTAAGTGCAACTTTAACTATATTATATCTGACCATTAAAATGGTAAAATCATGGTCATTATTATAGTCTCTGCAGTATTTCCATGGAAACAAGTAACCATTTTTTATCAGTCTATCCATGTCAGCCTTAAAAAGTTTAACAACTTTTAGTGTTAAAATAATCGTTTATAAACTGTTACTCGTAAAAAGTACAATGAAGTAATTTAGTAAATTTTCCATGTTATATATAGGTTATAGGTACTTCATAATGCCTAATTAAACATTGGTTAATAATTGTATCGCATATTGTATATTAAAGTACAATGGAATGTGATAACAAAAGAAAATCAAAACAAAACTCAACTTAGTCTGACTTGTCAAATAGTATACAGCGGATGCATCTATCATAGTAACTTGCGCATAATTATTTTAGTGTCTCTATCCTGCAATCATTTATACATAAAGGCACGGCGTGAATGGAATTAATTATTGATGCTCGTCTGTCGTCCACTACTCCATCACGTTATGGGTTGTCAAAAAATCCTTTCCTATAAAATACATATTTAATGTGAATCATACAATATAATATCTCAATAAACTAATCAATAATAAAACCTAATTAAATTTAAATAATGCACAAATATATTATTTAGGTGAGATTATAAATAAGTATACCAATATCATATCGACCGCTTCTACCTATAATAATAATTAATACAGCAACATATGAAACTATTTTGTATAATGTAACAACAGTTTCAGCACTGTTTGGTAACTTGATACCAGAGGAAATATTCCAATGATTTTTGTTCGCGGGAAAATTGTGAGTAGATATCCACACAACACGTTATTAAGCTCGTTTATTCATATAGTTTTTAATTACAATGATTTTAACTACGAAGACCTATAATATAGATATTTACTATAAATTTCTATTGACTTCCGAAATGTGAACACGTAATAATAATGATTACAAAAACAAGTAATCAAAATTTTAAAATTTGATGATTATCGATGGAAGCGTATAATTACTTATTTGAACCCAACAGTGGTTTATTAATCATAACAAGTTTAATTTCGTTTACGATACTATGGATGTATATGTTTCTCATCTACGCCATACCCGTTATATTATATTTGAGACTATACATATTTTTCTACACTCACCCAACCTATGTCACAATCTCTAATTAAAAATAATCATACAAGATAATATAATATACGCTGAAAGTTTTAATAAAAGCGCGACATCGTATGATTAACGCGTATGCATTAAAATTTAAAATCTAAAATTATAGGCATATGCCGTAAATCAAAATATGGTTTTAACAAATGATTATGAGACAACGGATTTGTATAATAAAGTAATAGCACATGATTGTGAAAAACCCTGAACTATATAAGATAAACGAAAACATTAATATTTCACAAAATATGCGCCATAATATAATATAAATAGATATCCAACTCGATTTATTCGAAAAATAAAATACTTTTCTGTACGCGCGTTATATGCAAAACAATATATCATATCATATTTATATATATAATGTTCCACGATAGTATTATGCTATATATGCACGTGGTCAACCTACTCGACCCACGGGGATACGTCACGAGGAGCCGTAAAATGGCTACGACACACTACCATTGTTTAAAATTCGAGAAAATAAATATCGTATATCATTTTTTGCACGACATTGTTGTATACCTCTGCATAACAATATCATACCGGCGACGAGAATTCACAAATTTTTCGCTGATCGCGCACACGTGAAAATAAAAAATGTCCGATCGAAAATAATATTATAATATTATGTAGGTAGTTTTCCGGAGGGGATGGGGGGGTTCATCTTTCGTTCGTCGTCGCATCATCTCCAATTCGGTCGAGCGAAGCCGGTGATGAGCGCGATCCGTCGCCCGACTGTTGGTTCCAGGCCACAGCTTGGCTTCATACGTCCGCCAGATAGAGTTACGCGGCGTGGTTATAATATTACTATTTTAGTAAAGCGTATTCCAACACCAGCCATTATCCGGATGACTAATCGATAAAACATTTCGATAACAAATAATAATTGCGAGAAACAGTAAAAGCAACAATTATTTAATAAGTGACTTAAGTATATAAATTCACTCAAGTGAAGAAATTTAATGGAATACAATTTGTTATCCATTTATCACATTTGAAATATTTATAAAAGAAATAAAACAGTCTAAAAGGTAGCTTAAATTTCGATCTTATGAATTTGCATAGTAAATTGAACAATTATTCAAACTTAATATTTTTACAAATTTGTAAAACCTGTAATTTTTTGAAAAAAATTGCTTAACTAGACTTTTAACCACTTTCAGATTAAACAAAAAAAAAAAAAAAGAACCTAACTAATATTACTTGAACCAGTAATTATAACTTTAAAAATGACCACACGTATTAGTGTTTTTTCCTATCGGATTCAGTCGATTTCGTTCCTTTTTGTTTGTAATATAAGTACAATATATTTCAATGATAGAAATAACGCACGGTGTCACACACCATTATAATATATTATTATGAAAGTCGAAAACAGCTGCTGCAGTGACGCTAAATTATATATATTATATTATTATGTAACATAGTATCGACATCTCAGCAGTTTATAGGATAACATATACTTCACTGCCCTACTACTGCAGCAGATCTATTCGTTTCGAGATTTCAAACGGAAATCGGCTATGATCTTATTGTTATTTTTCACTTCTGAAAATTCACAGGGAAGTATAGAATTTTCTAGTAGAAAACAAATGTATAAAATTCCATATTGATTATTAATTTAAGTATTACACTTATTAAATAATTTTAACTATGATATCACTTATAAAATTATTTTTTTTTTAATTCTAAGTCAATATACGAGTATTGTAATTATTACTAACCAAAATAAATATTGTATATGTATTACCTATTAATCAACTATACAACGATTAAATGATGAGTGACATACCACAGTTAAAAAGCCATAGGCATGTCGTCAAAATTAAAACGATTTATTCGTGTATCAGTTGTAATCGTCATAAAAATTATTGGACAAATAATTTATACCGAAATATTTGTTTACAAATAAACTGTAGTCATGTATTGTAATTTTTATAATAATTTATAAATGATTATGGCTAATCCGTTATCAATTTAATAAATGTTTCAGTTGTTTATTATCACCGATTATAATATGGTATGTTAATGATATAACTGCCGTCACGCATTACACATATAGTTGTGTATTTAGGGTGAAAGAAGAGGATATACGACATATAATTACTTCTCTAGTTTTTTTTAGCATTTATTCACTAAAAATACGATGAAACGTGGTTATACGTGTCAAGTATACGCCGTAAAATACCCAATATTTTATATCTAAGTATTTTTAATTCAGATAATTCAAATTGGTCTTGTGAAAAACATCACGTGTAATGTACATTTTCATGATTTTTTTTTTTTAGGGTAGGGAGGTTGGGGAATACCACAATAAATAATCAATAACGATCTTCTTAAAGTAGTAACTACTTGTATACACATGATTTACACAATAAAATTTAAGAAATAACGATTACGAGTGAAATCACAAATATATTGTTTTTACTTGTAAGATTTTTACCATTCACAATTATCTACGTGAAATTAAAACCACGACATTTTTTTTAGCAATATATCATGAGTGCACACAATGATTTCATTTCAATATATATAAAATGTGTACATGGTTTTAACCGATGTCGTCTTCCATGTAGAATGGTGTCGCTGCTCACTAACGGCATAGTGGACTACTTGCAAAAGAAATGGCTGTCTAGGCAGTTTCGTGACTGGACGTTTACTGAAGCCGACAGCATCGGAGTGACCATTGGACACGTACGTGGACTACTCATCGTCCTTGGATTATCCGTCATCGTCGCCACTGCTGTCATGCTCGTCGAGCTGGTCACCGCTAAATCTAACCAACCCACAATTTCGATTCCATTTCGTAACGTTGATCGCAACAGCCAAAACAGCGTTTATGAAACTGCTAATAGTATCCGTTGGCACAAATGTCGTGATCGCTAAGAGTGCTATATTTATTATAGTTCCTTAAATTCTAAACTTTATAAGCCCAATTCAAGTTAATAAAAGTACTTGGTGGGCAACTCACACTTCATTGCACGACAACTAAACATAGCAAAAGTAGATAGGTAAGGGGAAAGGTGTTGAATTCCGCTGAGTAGCGACACGAAACTACTTAATGTTTATTTTTGAAAATAATTTGTATCTAAATATCTGTAGTCTATATCGACAAATATTTATAAAATATTTATATTAGACATATAAACATATTATAGGCTTGTCTAGAACTATTTCAAAGGTTTGTTTACGAACACTTTAAAAAAAAATTAATCTAAAAGTTATTTTTTATTTAATTCAAACTCAAAGTTTTAATCGTACAGTTTTCCTGTAAACAGCTATATATATTATATAGAAAATTCAAAACTTTGAGAGTGAACACACATCACTATTTTAAAAACACTAACATTTTTTAACACTTTTTTTTTAGATAAAAAATTTCAATATATCATAAAATATTGCCCTTATTTTATTCATCAAATTTAGACCCAAAAATAATTATAATATTAACTAATAAATTTAATATAATTATGTTAGTTTTAAATTACTGCTTGTTTACCTATTTGTATAATTTAATAATATGTGACCATACTATGAGAAGTAATGAAACATTTTTCAACAAGCTCTTCTTTTATAGTACAATCTTTTATCAATTATATAAGTTTCAACATTATAATATAATAATAAAATGGATATATTATTTACATAATATATAATCATGTTATTTATGTAATATATTATATAATACTAAAGTTTTATTTGTATTTAAATAATACACTTATTAAACTTAATTTTCGGGCAGGGTTGCAAAATGTTTTAAAAAAGTGTTTTAAACATACATTTTTAAAACGTTTTAATTAATTTTTAAACAATGTATTGATAGTTAAATTTATTTTTGATAAATAAATACATTAACATTTAATATTTTTATAAATTAAATTTTTAAATTAATTATTTAAATTTTTAATACTTTAAACAGAGCATTAATAAAAATAAAAAAAATAAAATCACTTTAAAAAGATTTTAAAAGTTTTAAACAAAAAAAAAGGTAGACAAATAGGTCCTGTTCTGCTGTATAATAGGTTTCGAGTGGATTACTGTAATGGATGTGCTATATTTAAATTCAAAGATATAATTTTGTACGAAAAACAGTCGTAAGCAGAGACGATCTGAAACCTACAGTACTAAGTATATTTCATGATATAGTTTTTGATATTGCTATTGAAGTAATTTTTTTTACTATTATAGTACTTACTACTTAAAAAGTTAGTTTAGTTTTTCACAAAAACATTGCATTATTTTGTTATCAAGTTTATTTATTTTAATAATATATAATATTTAAACCATAATTTATTATTGACTTTTGACTTTTAAATCAATACAATCTTACCGTAAAATAGCTCATAGTACAAAATAAGTAATACATTATGTTAATAGTTATGTTTATGCGTTTTTAAATATTATTAGTTACAAAATGAACTACTTGTGAAGGATATTATATTAAAACTAAAAAATGTTGATCCAGCAAATAATTTTTTATCCACAAACTATATCCAATTTGCCACTAAAAATCACCACCAAATTTGAAAATTTAAGCATTTTTACTACTCCAAATGGTGGTGATGACAAAAAAATACATATCATTGTAAAATCAATAATATTATCACTTAGTTAAGAATCTAAAACATAGTTTTAAACGAATAAAACATTTATTTACTATAATTTTAAAAAAAAAAACCTTTTTTTCTAACTTTTTTTTCAGGTATTAATCAGTCGTCATAACTTATAAACATAATATTATAATTATAAGCATTACATTTATTATTTACATACGATAATAATTATAAACAATTTTACACTTCACTTAAAAGTAAATTTTTACTTACTCACTTATATTATGACACTATGAAATTTTTGTAATCATGTAAATAGTTGTAATAATGATCAAACATTTTATAGAAATTAGGGAATTAGGCCATCGTCAATTATGTAGCAAAAAAGTCTATTCTAAACGCCGTCTGATCATATTATGTAACAATTATAAAATAATAATAATGATAATAATACACCAAGTAGGTACAATATCATTTACTAGCATGGCAACTAGCCAGTATTGAAATATCCATCAGTGATAAATAATATTATCTAAAAATAAAGTTTACCAATCATAAAATCTTGACTTAAGTTATCTACCAATCAGGTCGTAATAATATTGTATAAAAATCTTTTAACATGTTTTAAATAATTCCTCTACCGAAGCAATTAAAAACATATAAATATTCAAATTTCAAATGAACTAGAAAGATAATTTAAATATCTTGTAAATTGACGAACTTTTGATAATCTAGTTCATTCTTTAAAGCAATTTATAATATATCATATTATAATTATGTTTTTTATATATTGTCACTATAATATCTACTAGTTATCGACTATCAAATATTAATTAATTAATATTTAATACAAATTTTTATTTTTATAGATTAAAATCTGTTTTATTATATTAGAAGTTATAGGCTATATATTCCTAAGATAAAATAGCATATAAAATACAATAAAACATCAAAGAACCATATTACCTCCACTCATCACATCCCCTAAATTCTTTGTATTAATCGATAACGATTTTTTGAAGACTTATATCCGATATTACATCGATTTTGTATTTTTATATAACCATTTATAAGGACTATTATCTTTTCTATAAATATTTTAATAACTGAAAAACTACTCATTTAAGTTTTGAAATAAGTAAAACAACAAAAAAGGGAGTTCGCATTTGGAAAACAGAAGATTTATATAACTACAAGAGTACTCAGTACTCCTTAATTAGTAAAAAAATCCCAAGAATTTAAAAATATAATTTTACATTTAAAAATTCCAAAAATCATAATTTTAATAAATTTATTTTTAAATTAAAAATGGGGGTAGGCATATATGCTTTATGAATCACTTTAACCACAATGTATAATTTTTTATTTTAACCAATGATAATCATAATCATAAAAAAAAATTGAATTATCAATTGTAAAATATTTTTATCAGAAATTCGATGTGAGGGTTCCAGGGATAATGTGGGTGCATCGCTTATGATAAATTCTTTAAAACTATTTTTGTTTATAACATATAATTTTTGCACTTGGACACCTATGATCTATACATTAGGAATTTTACAAGGTAATATTGTTGAATCAATGAATTTCAAATGATGTTTCAGAAACTTAAATTATGCGAAAATAAATAAATTTCATTTATATATTGTAATATATTGTATTACAATATATATGTATACATTTAGATATTTAATTAATTGCCTATGAATATAAAAAGCTATTTTATTGTGATAAAATTTGCTTTCTATCAACAAAAATTGTTTTACCGGATGTAAACACATACAAATACAAAATATATAATAAATATGTATGCATGTTGTACGTCTAAAATGAGAAAAAGCACAAAAGGACTTTGTTCGATTTAAAGGGGCTGGAAACGACTGTGTATAATATAACAACTCAATTTATATTATATAAGAGGCTAAATTTTGACAAACCATTTATACGAGTACACATTGCAAGATTCGACCGAAAACAGCCTAGCAGGCTATTCAACCTAATGATAAAATAACATTAAGCTATTAATTTCTTTTACATTTATATTTTTAGTCTTCAATAAGATACAACTTTTAATGAAATTTACTTCTATTAAAATATAACTTAGATTAAACCAATTATAGCATTTTTTAAAAATGTTAAATAAAAAAATTACTTAAATATAGGTATTTTTTATTGTCAATACCTTACAGACAGCAAGGGTGAAACTATATTTTTTCGCATTCGTTCATAAATCAAAACATTATATCAACAATAAACATTCAACGAGAAAAAACAAAATAATAAAAAATAAAACTTTATTTACAAAAATTAATGTATTTTATAATCTTTATTAAAACACTGGCAAATAGTGCATTATTATTTAAATTAAAACAAATTAGAATCGCTAACGTGTATAAATATTACAAGTATATTTAAGTATACTCGTAAACGTATAGGATTACATAAGTAAATGTGTATAAGCACGTCATGACCCACACACTGGTGGCTGGAAAACTACGAAAGTAGAAAATCATCATTAAGTCTAAATCCATGTGGCACACGACGATTTCGACGAACACAACATAAATTATTCACCAAACAGATTTTTAACGATTTTATATTTTATTTCTTTTATTAATTTATGCTATATACTCTCGAATTTTAAATAAAACAAATTGAATTCATTAAATTGATTTATTCTAATAGAATTCTGTGATGTAAAGTTAAAATCGAATAATTAAAAATGTGACAGTTGTCATGTGGGAAATAAAAGATTCGATATATATGAAATTATTTTTAAAATGCAGAATATCAATAAATATTTATCAGTTAAAAAATTATCTAAGATCCCATAAATATGAAAAATGTTTTGAATGACAGGATATATTTTTAATTTCATATTCCAAAGCTACAGAATATTAACTTTTGAAATATTGAGTGTTTAACTTGTACGTTAAATGCATTGCCTAATGTATAGAAATAAATATAGTGAAATTATACTAATTATAGTTAGGTATACTGAAGTAATGTTACTTCGACAGAATAATTGATTTTCCTACATGAAATATTTAAGTATAAATCCTCAACTCAGTAATTCAAAACGGTACAAAATATAGAACAATTACTGGTGAAAAAAAATCCACTAATGTAGTGCCAGGATAAACCACCTATGAAAATATACTCCAAAAAAATAGTTATTGTTCGTAGTTTGACATACCTAGTACTATATATTATATACACGTCTTACAAAAGTACGAAATTTGGACATTGTTCTAGAAAGTTACTCGTATTTAGGTTAAAGTTTTATTACTGAAGTTGACGTCCTGACAACACGATGCGAAATATTGAAATAGTTATATTATGTAATATTTTATGTATAGAAATACGAAAAAAAGTTATTCAGAACTAATTGTTTATATATATATAAATTATGAATTATAGTTTATAGTTGAAATGAGTTTGACGAATATAAATTAATATTATGATATAGTGTAGTTTTTTATAATATTATATCTTTTTATATATTTATGTTTATTATTGTTTTTCGATACCTACTAAAAAATACAAATAATGAAATATAAATGTAATAATTTATACATTTATTCAAACAG